AGGATCAAGGTTTTTGAGTTGAGAATGATTGAATCTTGAGAAACCGTGTTACTGATCATCATCCATCTATTCTGCAGCATGTTAGGATCAAACGCTTCAAAAACAGACTTTCCTGGCAAAATTCCTAGCGGTACTGATGTCCCGAGTGATGCTGTTTAGTAGTACCCTCCCCTTGGCTGCATTTGGTATTTTTTTTTTTTATGCAAATTAAAAAAATTAGATGCTAGGCAGGAAGGATTACAGAAAAATCAGAAGAGATATACGATGATGTCTAGTGAAGTTGTTACTATTATCCTCTATGTCTATACACTCGGTATCATGTTAGACTTGAGCAATGTTTTATATTTGATAAAATGCTTGATTATGGTTCTGTTTTAGTTCATTATGTTTGCAACACAAAGGCAATTTCAAGAGTATATTAGGAAAATTAGTCTTTTTTTTTTTTTTTTTTTTTTTTTTTTTTTTTTTAATAATGGAAAAGATTTAATCTTTTTACCTCTACCTGCTACAAAGCATGACAGGTTGCATAACACACGAATGCCCTCATTAGATGACCCCTTTTGTTGAAGAAGAAAAAGTTGTAGTTTTGATTACTAGACTGATAAAGCATGAGATGCTATAACTTTTTGCAGTTATGCAAAATGCTATCCAATTATATCATTGCCAATCCATTTAGAAAACGAGGGAAATGAAAGTTCCAGAATATGTCTAGGAAGCTATTCAATTCTATTAGACATCCCACTAACTTTACTTGCATACATAAAAACAGTACATATTATATTAAAATGACCTTATTTATACTATTGGAAAGGATAATGACTTAAAGGGTAATATATACTTTTCAATTTGTACACATTTGGTCACTGAGATATTCTTCCGTTCACAACTTTATACATTCAGTCCTTATGTCCTTATGACCGGCTACTTCAAGTAAGTCGGAAAAAATGACTTAAAAGGGTAATATATTTCTCATTTTGTACACATATAGTCCTTAATATTTTTTTTCGACATTTAGTTCTTAATATTCATTTGTTGCCAAATAAGTTTTTGTTGTTTTTATACATTTTCAGTACTTATGACCGGGTTCTTTGGGTTTTTTTTTTTCACGGTATTCTACATGGGACAATCATTAATGATGTGTTGAGAATGTTGTTGCTTATAACAACCGTGTCCTCAACTGCTTGGTTGCTTAGGTCTTGTGATTTTGCTTCACGGTACTTATGACCGGGTTCTTTGTGTTTTTATTTTATTTTTTTTACGTTAAGAAGAAGTTATGACGTTCAGAACACAAGACCTAAGCAAAGCCACAATACCTAAGAAACCAAGCAGCGAAGGGCGCGGTGGCTGTAAGCATCAACAGCTCTGAACACCTCGTTAATGATTGTCCCACGTAGGATGTCGTGAGAAAAACCTAAAGAAAACGGTCATAAGTATTAAATGTGTACAAAAACAAGGATTCATTTTGCAACAAAAAATTTATTAAAGACTAAATGTGCAAAAAAAAATATTAAAGACTAAATGTGTACAAAGTGAAAAATATATAATAGCCGGTCATAAGAACTTAATATGCACATTTAAACAAGTTGAAGGGGTAAATGTGGACGAAAAAAACTCATTGACCAAATGCTTACAAATCAAAAAGATATTACCCTTTTAAGTCATGATCCCTATTGGAAAATACGTTGAAAATACCAATGTTTTAAATAACCTTAGGTATGACTTGACGACAATATTAAACTTCAAGCTTTTACGAGCCGTGGTGAGCCATATCGTTTGTAAGGCATGACTTGAGACGTCAATTTTGTATATAATTAATAATTCTATATATATTTTCTACTATTTTTCATTTTTATATACATATATAACTTATGGTGATATTTTGTTAAAACGTAGCATCAAGTACAAGCCTTAGAGTCATAACGAAACCATGGTGAGATTTTTAGAACCTTGGAAAATACCATAGAAAATGTTTGATGTTTTTTTTTCAATTGCAAACCAACTACTAGCAACTATGGGAACAAGCAAAATGATCAAATTTCATATCAATCAAAAAACTAAACCTTATATATTAATCCAAGGATATATATTTTTTTTCTTTTTTGAACTGAGTTTCATTAATATCGACTTTAAATATTTTGAACAACCATATATCAACCGCTATCAAATCTATCTTCTCGATTAAAAGGTTCAAAACATTTCAAATCAATTGAATAAAACATAAGATGAATCAGAAAAGTTTTAGAAGAAACATCAACCCTCGCCAACTTGTTGTTGAGAACAACTTTAAGAACTTTAGCCTTTAGAATAACCTACAACTGCCTGAAATACCCTACGAGAACCGCAAGAGAACCAAAGTCAAGAGAACACACATCATATTATTTTCAAGATATGTGTAAAAAAATAGCTTTAATCTTTGGAAATCAGGAGAACCGAAATTAAGAGAACACCCATTACATAGGAGAACACCCATAGCTACCTTTCCCAAACGTATTTTGTAATGTTCTAGCACCTTGTTCTAATATAGGGTGTAAGTCATTTTTGTCCACTTAACTTTTCGTTGTGTACTCATTTGGTCACTTAACTCATTTTAAATTTTAAAAGGTTACCGAACTTGTAAATTTATGCTACAGTGGTCATTAAACTTTTGGTTTGGTCACTTAACTTTTAGCTTTGCGCTCATTTAGTCACCTAACTTTTGAAATTGTGCTCATTTAGTTACTAAACTTTTAAAATAAAAATATAAAAATGAACTATAAAAAAACTTTTAAAAACAAAAAAGGGACCAAATGAGAACAAACCCAAAAGTTAAGTGACAAAAAAATGTTTTATGACCATTTTGACACAAATTTACAGGCTCTATGATTATTTAAAACTTAAAATAAGTTAAGTGACCAAATAAGCACAAAGTTAGAAGTTAAGTTACCAAAAATGATCTACACCCTGCTAATATATTATGCCGTTCAATAT